TCTACATCTTTAAAGGGGACTTACTTGACAAATATATAAGAACACAAAAGAAAACTTCATAGGCCACTTTACACAATACAATATCCAATAATGACACAAGCATTTCTGTAAGCATGAACACTAATGACAGTTGCAGAGGTATGACAGTTATGAACAGACAACTATATTCATAAAGACATAGCTTATATAACTTGGGTTACCTGAAATACCATGGCAGACAACCTAAGTCTTCTGACGGAATCCATCAAAAACCATGATGGGTCACCGCTGCATATGAGTCACCCAAGAGCCAAGATTTCAAGAAATTTTATCTTTCACAAATGCAAATGTACAAAAAGAACATTTCTTCATTTATTAAATTTCAATGTTTTTATGTTCACACACAACGTTTACACACAGAGTCAATACTGTGACTCAAATTTTGCGAAGTCAGATTTGCAAAAAAAAAAAGTATACAATCAATTTATAAAATTGTTTACATTATTATAACTCCAGGATTGGAAATGATGCAAAGATAAAATACATAGCATAGTGAAATTTTTAAAAAGTACTGACAATTTAAAATACTGGGAATAAAACAATAAAAAGAAAAAAAAAAAAAACCTTTGAAAAAAAATCTAATTTTTTTTTTCAATATAAGAAAGTGTATTACAGAGTTAGATTATGGGCAATTGCATGGAGGTAATCCATAATAACTGGTGGACTTTGATGATTGTTAATCTTGAAATCTTGTCTTAGGATGAATAGCTGCTTTTTTTTTCTATTAGGGCATGGCTCATGTTGGAGAATATGTCTACATTCATTTTCCACATGGTGTTGCTCTTTTGAATTCTTCCTTGATTTGATATACAGCAACATGAGCATTCCCTATTACATTTTCCCACTTTCTGTGCCATGCCTCTATATTTTTAGGGGTACACAGAAACCCATTCTGCAGGCACTCACATTCAAACTACAAATTTGGCAGAAACAGTACTGGTGACAGTTCAACAACACCATTGCGTGTCTTCTTATCCTGCCATACACATAATTATTTTCAAGCCAGTCAGTGACTTTGCAGTCATCTTCAAAGAAATTCAGCTTTAATGTATTAAACCTGTGTACAACTTCATGAGATGGAAGGAATGCCAATGCAGACAAATGACACATTTTTAAACTGAAGTTTTTGTTATTGCCATATGACATAGTCAATTCACTCAACAAAATTTTCCACTCAAAGCATTGGGCTGAGTAGAAAAAGCAAACTTTATTGGTAACAACCTGAAATTCATTTTTAGAAGCCATGTTCATCACCTAATTCCACACCTGTCTTTATGGTTTGGGGATTGAATTAGATGTTAGGGATTATGACTTCAGGGATTTAGACTTTAAGAATATTGATCTTTCAAAATTTCAACAATTAGAATTGTGGCATTAGGAATTGTATCTTTGGGATTTTAATCAGCATCACTCTTTATTAATATACCACAAGTTGTTTATCAATTCTCCTGTCAACGAACATTTGAGATACCTCTACTTTTGGCTATTACGAGTACAGCTTCCACAAAATGCTTGTACAGTGTAGACTTATGTTCTTTCTTTCTTTCTTTCTTTTTTGAGACAGAGTCTTGCTCTGCTGCCCAGACTGGAATACAGTGCTGCAATCTCGGCTCCCTGCAACCTCCCTCTCTCCGGCTCCAGCAATTCTCCTGCCTCAGACTCCCGAGTAGCTGGGACTACAAGTGCATGTCACCATGCCCTGTTGATTTTTGTGTTTTTTAGTAGAGATGGAGTTTCACCATATTGGCCAGGCTGGTCTCAAATTCCCGACCCCATGATCCTCCCACCTCAGCCTCCCAAAGTGCTGGTATTACAGGCATGAGCCATTGTACCTAGCCATATATTCTTATCTCTATTGTGTAAGTAACTAGGAGTAAACTGGTGTTTGGTGTATATTTACCTCATCAGAAACTGTCAGAGGTTTTCCCAAGCAATCGTACCATTTAACATTCGCATTAGCAATGCAGGAGAGTTCTAGTTACTCCACCTCCACACCAACACTTAGTATTTTCAATCTTTGTAAACAAATTTTAGTCATTCTAAATATTGTGCAGTAATATAACATTGCGGTTTTAATTTGCATTTCTCTAATGACTAATGATGTCATATTTTACTAAATGTGTTTGGCCAGCCATAGCCTCTTTTGCAGGCACTTGTGACCCATTTCTTCATTAGATTGTCTTTAGGTTGTCTTTTAATTTTTGATTTTTCAGAGTTCTTTACATATTCTACATATTTTAGTCCTTTGGTAGACAATTAGATTGTGAATATTTTCTCCCTGTTATGGCTTCCTTTTTCATTTTCTTACATGTTTTTCGTGAGAACATTTTAATCTTAAAGTTCAATTTATTAAAATATGAAGTCTTCCATTACATAAACATTATATATTTCTCCGTGTATTACAGTCTTCTATAATTTCTCAGCAAAATCTGCATTTTAGTTTTTGATGTTGATATCTTATACATCTTTGGAAAAATGTATTCCACGTATTTGATGTTTTCTGATAGTGCTTTATATTGGACATTCAATATCCAATTGGATATTAAATTGGAAATTTCATATTTAATTGAGTGTTTCTTATACATCACATTTCAAATTTTATATAATATCCTTGAATCCAATAATTTTGCTAATTTCAGTTTTTAGTTCAGTAGTTTATAGCTTTTTAAAGATTTTCTACATCCCAATCATGTTGTATACAAATAGTGAGCTTTATTTTTTCCAATTTTTATGACTTTTTTCCTTGCTTTATTTGTCTAGCGAGGACCACAATATTGAATAGAAGTCATGAAAGTGCATATTCATTCACTGTTTCTGATCTTAAGGAGAAGGCATCCAATATTTTACCATTATGTATGATATTAGCTCTAGCGTTTCATATTCAAGGAGTTCCTTTCTATACCCAATTTGCATGTTGAGTTTTGTTCTAGCATTTAGTCAAATACTAAAAGATACCATAAAACCATGGAGGTTTGGTTTCAAGAATTCTACAGGCAGCAGCTGATCTCTCTGCCCAAATTTCTGGCCTCTTGGCTGTATCTTTCCTCTGCCTGTGTATGTTAGGAATCAGCCCAGGATTCGGGTGAAATTAATGAGCAGATGGGACTCCCTTCTTTTTGATCCCCTCATTTCTTGGAATTTTCCCCTCACTTCCAGATACTCTAGCATCTCCAGATTCCAACCTCTATCTTTTTCACCCAGTAAGACTACAATTTCTTTATGAGGCATATTTTATGAAAACTGGAAAGTACCTGCAGAGGAAACGCTGGATAAATGTGAGGTTCATTGTGTTTCCAATCTTCCAGTGAATGAATCCTCTCCTGTTTCTTTTTGTTTGGGGTTGTTTTCTAGTACCTTCAACAATTGTGTTTGTTTTTTATTATTTTGTTCTGTGTATATGCGTTATTAGCAGGAGGCTTATTCTGCTATAAACTGCTCCACTATTATGAGACAATCACTCCTATATTGGATTTCTTACAGTTCTTCGAATACACACCTTTCCTCTGACCTGGGGTCACCACATATGCTATTTCTCTACCTGAAGCACTATCCCCTTGCTTGTTGACTAACTCGTTTCCAATTTCCCTCATGTCTCAGTTAAAATATCAGTTGCTCAGCAGTCTTTCTAATCATTTTCTACCTCATGTTGATACTTTCCCATAACACATTGTACTCCTTTTGCAGTTTTCTTTTTTTTTTTTTTTTTTTTTTTTTTTTTTTTGAGATAGAGTCTCACTCTGTCACCCAGGCTGGAGTGCAGTGGTGTGATCTTGACTCACTGCAGTCTCTGCTTCCCAGGTTCAACCGATTCTCCTGCCTCAGCCTCCCGAGTAGCTGAGACTACAGGTGTTGCCATCAGACCTGACTAATTTTTTGTATTTTTAGTAGAGACGGGGTTTCACCATGTTAGCCAGGATGGTCTCGATATCCTGACCTCATGATCCACCTGCCTGGGCTTCCCAAAGTGCTGGGATTATAGGCGTGAGCCACCATGCCCCACCCTTTTGTAGTATTAGAGGACTCATCTGCTCATATTTATTCGTTGAATACTCCTTACTTCTTAAAGTGTAAGCTCCATGAAAGCAGAAACCATCTCTTACAGTGGGCCTACCTAATTAAAAAGTACTCTGTAAATATTTGTTGCTTTTCAGAAAACCAAGGAGCAAAATATTTTGATCACCTTATCACAAATACTGTGAAGGCAACTTCTAAAAATCATTGATAAGCAAATCCATCCGAGTACAGACATGTGTACATAGGTAGTCATCAGTCAATAATTACAGCAAATTTTCTTTTTTGCACATTCATGCCTAGAATGTGTTCAAACGGTAGAGCACTCTGGTGTCCCGCTAAGAGGATGATAAAGAGCCACCTTTTTGAATGGCTTTCAAGTGACAGTGGTACAAAGCAATTCTATGTAACAAACCTTCACATGTACCCCCAAATATTAAATAAATAAATAAATGTCCAGATAAGTCTTCGGTAGCTTTTGTATCAACACAAAGAAATCCACCTGATAACATTATTGGTTTCTCATTAAGATCATCAGCTTTGACACTATTCTGCAGCTTAAAAAAAAAAAAAAAAACTGTTCTACAGCTTAAAAAAAATTACTGCTTAAGTATAAATGTGATCATATTTTTTCCACTCTCCAGAGCTTTCTTCTTCCTTGTAGCATGCCTAGAAATATGTTATGCTTCTAGGTACTTGCATTAACTCATCCTAGTCAATAGGGTGATGTTGCAATAGGCACCATTATCTAGATTTTGTTCTTTTCTTTAGACAAGTAAATACATTTAGGGAATCAGACTTTGGATATCTTCGAGTGGTTTGGGGTATTCCGTTAATTCCAATTCGAAACCAGGGTCTAACACAGGGTTTGGCACATAATAGTTGTTAAATAAACATTTATTTAATACATCAACGAAAATGATTGCAGCGAAAATTCACCACAAAGACAATTATAATAAAGTTTATTGGTTAATCCATAAATGTAAGCATTTAAAAAATAAATATAAACCAAAGTATTGCCTTTGATTAATAAAATGAGACTTTTCCTGGGTAGAAGCTCCAATTAACCAACACAGTTCTTACAACGCTGAAGACCGTTTTCATTGCAAGCCGTACACTTCAGGGCTTTGAAAGAGTCTGTGAAGCAATTTCGAAACACGGACATCTTGCTCCCATGGCACATAGAGCATGGAAGAAACCCAAAGCCTCCACAAGAGGGACACTCATGTGGATGCTGCACTCTCTGTATAAGGTGACAGGGGAATAAGAGAAAACAGAAGATGTGTTAGCATGAGCAACTCAATCAGCCTCCTGGTCTTTCTGTACTGTGAGTGGTCATAAAACAATATTGGCATAATATGGCTATACACTTGAATTCACCTACCTTTAATACACATTACACCCAGGGAAGTAATTAGTTGAAGTTCTCCTTCATTCCCCAGCCGATGGCCATCTATACCACAGGTTTGGTTTGTAAAGTGGGTAAATTTTAGGTTGAAGGGCATATAACTTCAAGAAATACATCATATGAAAACGTCTATTTACAAACCAAATAATTCAGAAGTCGTTTTTTTGTATTAAGGGAAAACACTTTAACTTTCCCATTAGTATCATTTAACAGTTTCATGTCTTTGTTTATAGAATAGTATATTAATAACAAGTCTGAAAAAATCAGAAAGCTAAAAGCTGAAGTGTGCAGAAGCCACTATCAACTGAAGATTACTAATTATACTATAAATTTAGACTAATACTTCTTTTTTCAAAGCACTTTCAAATGCATTTTTGTATAGCATCTTCACCCATACTAACGAGTACACATACAGATACCTTTTTCAGTAAAGATTTAATTTGAGCATCATTATCCTCATTTTATTTTTAAGAAAACAAGCACAGAAATCTTGAGACATTTCTGTAAATCTGTTTCCCACAGTAGCTATCAACCTTTCTATCTCAAGCAAAGGTAAAGTATCTCTGATAATACAATGAAAATAACCAGATAATGTGTTGAGAGTAATATTTTTTAAATCATTTACATGCATTTCTCTTTGCTTTTCTGAGCATATAACCTTTACTGGTGTCCTCTAGAGGCATCCATCAGTTTAGGGGAGATTAGGTGCCATTACAAAATGAATACAAAGAGAAAATAAGTAAATTGATACTAAGCTTCCGACTTGCAAAAAAGGAATTTGCAGCAGTTTTTGAAACCCTGGCTTTGTGAAGGGACTAATTGCTACAATGAGCTCAGGAAATGTGGATACACACGTACACAGGCAAACACATACTCAGACAAACATGCTTAACATACTGACACATACATATAGCTTTTCTCTAAAGATTTATAATTGCACATATTAAAACCTCAAAAATATTCAACTTAAAAGAAACCTGATAAACTGAGTTTAACCCAGGATTGCTCCAGCACATACAACTGTGAGAATTTTTAGAGTCAATAATATAATTATGTCATAATTAGTAACCTGTGGGATGTACTTTGGTAATCAAACATTAGGATCAAATTTGTATTTATAAAATATCAACCTAACATTGACATTTTAAGGCAATATAAATGGGCATTTTCTATATATAGCAGGATTCACTTGCAATTATAGTTTGACTTGACTATTAAATCAAGATGGCTGAACTCATATAATATCTCATTTCTAATGGCACCAAATCATAGAAAGTTGTTGTCAATCTCAATAATACGAACAGTGAACTTCGTCCAGACTGTAGAAATTTAAAGCTCTTCCAAAAAGATAGATTGAATATGCACAGCCATTTGGTCACTTTGTTGATGGATTTTTGTCATTTCTTTGTGCAAGAATTGACCTTCAAAAAGGATGCACTGCACTTAAATTTTGCATAATATTAAAATAGAAAAAAGAAAAACTCTGAGTAAAAACAAACCCAGTGATGGAAAAACAGTGTACTTTATAAGCCAAATATGAGAAAATTTCTAAGTAATAGAGTTCTTATCAAATATTAGAAAGAATATAATGTAGATAAATCCTTGTCATTCACTATTGCTATGACAGGAGATTAAACTAAAAATATTTAATGACTTGTACAACAAGTGCACCAAGTCAGAATAAATGCTGGACTGGCCAAGGTCCTAGAGCAAGGACCTGCAGGGACCCTGAGTCCAGCCTTTTACTCATTACTGCTAGATTGTAAATAGATCTGAGTTCCTAGTAAAATAGAGTTGTCAGATTTTGCAAATAAAAATATGGGAAGCTCAGTTAAATTTGAATTTCAGATAGAACACAAATATTTTTTCTTTAAGTATGTACTAAATATTGTATGAGATATACTTAAGCCAAAAAATTATTTATAATTTATCTAGTATTTAAATTTAAATGAGCATCCTGCATTTTATCTGGCAAAGTTTATAGGTTGGAGTTTACAGAGAAGAAAAGAGATATTAATCCATCTTGGGCAATGGCTATTTACCAACCAATGTAAATCATTTCAATATCTTTTTTTTTTTTTTTTTTTTTTTTTTTTTTTTTAGGGAAGTTGAGGCAGAGTCTCGCTCTCTTGCCCAGGCTGGAGTGCAGTGGCGCGACCTCGGCAGCTCACTGCAACCTCTGCCTCCTGGGTTCAATCGATTCTACTGCCTCAGCTTCCCAAGTAGCTGGGATTACAGGTGCATGTCACCACACCTGGCTCATTTTTGTATTTTTAGTAGAGACGAGGTTTCACCATGTTGGTCAGGCTGGTCACAAACTCCTGACTCAAGTGATCTGTCTGCCTCGGCCTCCCAAAATGCTATTACAGGCATGAGTTACCATGCCTGGCCCAATTATTTCAATATCTTAATGAGTACAAACACAGTTCAATATTTTCAGCAACCACGACCTCTGTACCAGTGCATATTAGGTGAATATGAATTCCTGCTATGACCCAAGACACTTGTGAATGACCAGATTCTTGAATGGCCGTATGGTTTTCTCATGAAATGTATTTGTGACTACAAGCAAAGAACATCAAAGCTGAAATGAAATGTTAGTGCTATGCAGCTTCCTGAGTTCACTTTCTATCTGTGGCACTTCAGGCACTAGGCTCTGAGCACACAAAATTCAAAATAGTAACTCAACACAATTAAAAATTGTTTTACGTAATGGACCGACAGCATGACTTACAAATATTACTTTCAAAGGCTAAAAAATCAAATGTTAGGTTCACTAATACCAAGAGTCTACTGTTTCTTCATAATTTATCCCCTTGTCAGAACAAATAAATTGCTTAAAATAAACTTAATACATAAATACTAAAGCTACATTTTTATTTCTAAATATAATCACAAATACAACAAAGCCATTCTAAAATAGCGTCCTCAGAGTCCGTGCAATTCTGTGATGAGACCTCTCTTTTATTCAAAGGATTGTTGAGAGGATTCAATGAACTAATTCATGGGAAGTGAACAGAATATTGCCTGGCACATAGTAGGCACTCAATACAGTTAGTCATTACTGGCCATTATTTTATTAATAAATTCTATTTGAAATGATTTTTATTAACTGCTACCTCAAGCTAAACTGCTTGTGGTCACATGATACAACCATTTTCTACACTTCTCAGAGTCGTACAGTTTAAACACTTGTTCAATACTTCGCTTTCTGGTTTAAAGTTTTGCCACTGTAAGAAGGGGGAGTAAATGTGTTTCAATTCATGTGCTATTTCTGTTGTCCAAGATAGTGGAAGAATACTTCCACTACTTCCATTCTCAGGAAAAATTAGCTATTTCAGCCATAAACGTAGGAGAGGAAAGGGATGGCTTACATCTCGTGTGGAGTCTTTGCTCCCTTCTCATACCAGCCTGACGTGATAGACACTACCATTTTACAAATGAGGAAACACAGCCTCTAAGCTGGTTTTTAAAAACTAATTATCAAGTTATAACTAGAAAGTTGAATATTGAAGAGGTCTCTCTATGAGCAAAATCCATGGTCTTCCCTCTATGATAGTAGTTTTCAATGTTTGTTTGCATCCATTTTTCCCCAAATAATCTAAACATGAGATCCCCAAATGTAAAGCAGTTGAAAGGATAAATGCTACGACTAAAACCAAAGTGGTAGTGAGGTGGGGTGGGTCTCAAGGCAACCCACTGAAGCTCCCCAGTGCCCCCTCGCACCCAGGAATCTCATTCTTGCTGCATCATCCAGCACAATTTACACCATTTGTTATTCTAATAAGAATAAATAATTTAGTCATGCCTAGCCACGTCTTTCAAAGCGCACTTTTGTTATACTGGAAGTCTGGTCCTAATTTAGAGGGTTCTGCACAAAGAAAACCCAGTTGGGTGATGTTAGATGCTCTTATATTAGTGTTGCTCTAAAGTCTAACCCTTCTGTAGACAGTTTTGCCCACAGATCAAGATGCAAAAAGAGCTAGGAATTTCCTGAAGAACATGGACAAAGTTTCAAGTTGGAGGAAGAAAGAATAACCGAAGTTAATGAAACAGACTTCCACTTTACTTATAGCATTACTAATTACTATTAGTAACATTACTAACTAGTAACAAAACAGGCTTCACCACTATTGGTAAAAAAAACTGACTTCCACTTTCAATGAAGAGACTGACTGCGGAAACTTTGACCTGCAAGCAATTAAGAATCCAGGCAGACCTGGTTGAGAATAGCACACAGAGTACTGAATCTACTGACTGTCTCCTCTGCTCTGAATAGTGGTTTGGGTTGAGACAAGTCACTTTGGGGTGGAATTCGAGAGAAAAAGAATGAGAATTCACCCTCCACTTTACTTCTTTCTGTTCATTTATTCCTGTGAGTGAGTTTTAAAAAACAGATACTCAGTGAGTGAGACCTCCTACTTATTCATTTCATTCCACAAATATATATTGAGTATTCAGTAGCCAGGCACTGTGTAAGGCAATGGGAATATAGCCGTGAACCAGACACTTCTCTGTTGTCCTAACAGTACATCTCAGCCTCACCCTTGAGTCTTGGATAGGTCTGCTCCATATTGCAGTCATCTCAACTAAAGCACACAAAATGTCTTGTGTCTCTAACAAAGGACAAAAGCAACAAACGACAAAGATAATGGCAAGTTTATGAATGATTGTGAAATGGACTTCCTTTGTAGCAAAGGAAATTTGAAACTCAAATTTCAAGAATGTAAGTTTACCCCCAGTTATGCAATATAAAAACAGGATGCTAAGATCAGGAGTCTTCATGTCTTCTTCAAGATCAGGAAATGAAGCTCTTATTATTTTTAACCTCAGATCATCAAATCCTATTCCAATAGAGCTTGAAAGTCCCTTAAGTATCTGACCAAAGAGGAAGCAACTTATTTGAGCCTCTGTGACAATACACCTCATCATCCAGATTGTCTATGAAGCAGTATTACCCATAAAACAAATTGTCAGAGAGTACACGCTTGGCATTATAATCATTTATGGATGATTCATCTTGGTCTATGTATTTTATTTTAAACTAGATTCAAAAATTTAATTCAGCAAATGCTTAAATGCCTACAAACACCCCTCTGCCTGACCAAGCTGCCAAAAAAATAAATAGAATCTTTTCTGATCATCAGTGTTTCCGGCATCCTTAATTTGCAGAGTTGAGAAAGAAGCCACTGCACAAAATGCAGACACAGGGGAAATTTGTAGCTCATAATTCAAAATGTATAAGCCTGGATATAGGAGCCTGATTCTTAAACAAGATGGGATGGACTGCCATAAACCTACTTAAATAGATGTTTGGATTTCAGAGAGAGGCAGATGACATGGCCTGATTCCCCAGGTGAGCAGGTAGGTGGTATCTGTGGCTGTAGCCTCAGAACAGGCTGTTGCCACCCCCTTTCCCTTAGGAAGGACCATCACACAGAGCTATACTTCTCCAGGGAGTCTCAGGAGAGTCTCTGACAGCTCCAATGCCTTGCACAGATAACCTGTGCCATTTTTGACATCCTAAGTGTGTATTTGGGAATATTTGCTCAGTTCTTCAAGAACAAATAAGCAGTTGCCAGTCCTCAGGGGAGAATCAGATTAAGTAATTGTTACCAGTTTTACCAAAAAAAAAAAAAAAAAAAAAAAAAAAAAAAAAAAGGACAGAAAATGGACACTATGTTGGCAATCTCAGTACAAATGGCAACAAAACTATTTACTCATATCTTCAAAAAAATAACAAGGCAAAGCTTACTTAGAGCTTCTCTGCCATCTGAGATCTTTAATTCAGTGTCTGCCAGAACCACTGGTATGATAATAAATCTCAGCACTCCCCTGGCTCTCCCTGCATGGACACCAGCAGGATTAGCTATCCATCTTGGTTATTGTTTTTTGAGGACTCCTTAGACATCTCATTCCTTCTCATTTTTAGCCTGTTTATTAACATAAATAAATATCATTTACCAAAAAATAGTGGTTTCATTGATCCTTTCAGCCACATATTCTTTTATATAAAATAATAATTTTCTCTTTCTTTTCATCTCTTAAATGTGTTGCCTCCTCCAAAAAAAAGCTTTGGATGAAAGAGAAGTCATTTATTTATTCCCTCAGTAAATATTTATGTGTCCCTGGGATATGCCAAACCCTTTTCTAGGCACTAGAGGTAAATAATAAAAATAAATGAATGTCTGTGTTCACATGGAGTTCACATCTTAGTGAGAGGATTACCTGCAAACTGTCAAGTCAGGAACACAGTCCCCATTGGCACAACCGGCTCTACTGAGACCAGATCTCCATACCAACTATCATATGTGTTACTAGCTTCTGCTGCCTTTGGTCAGCTCCTCACGTTTGAGGCTACAAATAATCTTCATCAACAAATCAGATCACTCAGCTTCCACAGCAATTTTCAGTTGGGTGGGATGTGTGGTAAGATTCTTGGTGCAGAAAAAAATTGAAATTATTTTCTGACTCCATTTCTGATTGTCCAACCACAGCTGCTAAGCGTCTCTCTTTAACATCACTTGAAATAACTGCTAGAAACTGGAACCTGAATTATGAGGACTAGCAGTGGTCATAGACTACCACGTAGTGACCCAAGTAACAGCAAACTAGATCTTGCCAGGATCTGTCTAGTGTCAGAGCCCTGTGTCAAAATCCAGCCTATTCCCTGAACCTAACACCTTTACTAGCTTACCTCTTAGGAAACTACTAACCCAGGTTTTGTGTCCTGCCACAATATAGTCAGATTTCCTAGATACCTACAGGCCACTTAATTTGAGAGTCATGGAAGCATAGGTTCGTAGTTAATTAACATTATAGGTTTGGAGTCAGACTGATTAGAATCATAAATCAAATACTGACTACCTAAACACTCTTGAGCAAGTGGTTTTTGTCTTTCCCTTGCCAGTAAAATGGGGATAATAAGAGAACTCATTTAGCAGAGTTGTGAGCTTTCAATGATTTAATATGTACAAAGTGCCAGGAATATATCTTGCTATATAGTAAGGACTGAAATATTTCCTTCATCATGAATATTTAACTCCTACTCTACTGTCAAAAGCCAACCAGAAAAATGGGATGGGTTTGGATCTGCATTTTGTATCCCTTATCCTCTTTGCATGGCTTTCCCAGTGCTTCTTTTCACCTGGTCTCTTTACTTCCTATTAAACTCCAGCTACCTCTCAGGCAGAGTTCTGGGTTTTCTTGATTGGCTACAAATTCTCCACCAGTTTTACTATATGGCCAAAGCAGCTGAACATAGTGATGGCATCGCAGAGTTCCTATAACATTAGAAAGCCAATGTCATACCCTTATTTTGAACATTAAAAATAGCTTAAAGTATTTGTGCCCTATTTATGTCACGTGTAGAATGGAGACAGACTTGAAGAAGAGAAAAACATCTTATTTTCCAAAATTTTCGAGCTGATGGAGAGAGAGAGAGATTATCTAACATGGTACTGTTGATCAAGTTGTAGAATTGAATAATTATAGACTCAATGGAATAAAAGTCCAGAATAACTAAATCAGTCGTCAACCTGTACAAAGAAAAGCAATGAAAGATATTCATCCTGTAAGATCCTAAAAGATGCTCTTAAGCCATAGAATTGAAATAGTACGATATTGATGCAACAAGAAATAAATAGATCAATGATACTGCATAATACCATTTAAGTAAGTTTAAAATGTGCACAGAGAATAATACACATAAACCAAATTGTTTAAATAGAAAGATACATAATAATGTAAGTGAATGACTTCACAGGATTGGAGTAGTATATAAGAAGAGAAAGAAATAAATAGATCCATTCATACAGCTTTTTTAGCTAAGAAGAGCTTTAAGAGGAGCAAGTACACACCCTGATTTAATAGATAAAGAAATCAAGATACTGACAGGTGAAAGGTTATGCCGAAAAGCACACAGCCAGAAGCAGAGCTGAGGAAAGAGCTAAAAATCCTCTGATTTCCAAATCATAATACTTCAGAAATTATAAATTATTGAAAAAAAGGAAATTTAAAACATTTTACAAAAACAAGTTTACTCTCTGTATATATCGCATGGCTTTTGAATTTAGAATCAGACCATAGTAAGTTTTCTTGTTAAAGCCCAAGCATTCTCCTCCTTTATAAGCACTATATTTCTGGCCATCATCCTCATTGAACTACAATGTCTAAACATACTCTATTGTTTGTATTATGACACAAACTGATAAAAAATGATTTTGAGTTATTGCTATAGGTCTGCAGTACATTGAGAGGACGTCGTTGTCTCCCTTAGCAAAGTACCTGTAAACAGTAGATACTCAATAAATGTTGAATGAATGAATCCATTGTTTTCCTTCTGGGAAAGGTCACAATATGAATAAAACATGAATCCTTCAATCAAGGAGCACATAGTTCATTTGGGACATGAGTCAAATACCCAAAGAAAGCTAACACAAAAAAGACTTTTATAAGCCCCCTAAAAAGAGGGTTATAGGAATTCAAAGGCGGGGGAGATCAGAAATGACTATTGGAAGAACTGATACTGAAGATGGGCCTTGAAAATGGTGGAGGGAAATTAGGAATTGGAACAGTATCATTCTAGGCAGACAGAAAAGCCTGCACAAAGGGATAGTAGTAAGAAAGCACAGGAAGTCACATAGTCCTTTCCTTTATCTACAGTGGAAGGAATGGTAGAGAATCAGAAATTAGGTTACCAAAGACTGGAGCAATAATAACCAGTAGTGACATATGGACACTGGATAACCATATGACCTGTTTCTCCTGGCAAAGTCCTGTTTCACATTTGCCGTCCCAGAACAATTATTAATGCATACTTTTCACTCTCAAAGTGTCCCAATCAGGACAATAAAGTATATAATCTTCTTACAAATAGGGAGAAAGAGTCTGATAAAATAATTTAGCAGTGAGGTAATAAGGGCTTTCCGGTTGCATGTAAATTTTATAAGTATTTGAATAAGTATTTCTCTGATACTATATGTATAAGCACAGGAACACAAATTAAAACATGCTTTTTGGAGAAATAACTTTTTATTTAATCTTTATAAATGATGTAGGAAGATCTTCTATATGTAGGAAGATCCATGGGAAAAATAAAGTTGTTTCAATGAAAAATTTTAATATGCTTCAAGATTATTTCCTGACTTGAAACACCTCATCAATGCCCGTATTACAGAGAGTTGGGCTCAAATAAAGCTGACCATAACATTCACCTAATAGTATGAGATCATTAGAAGTTAACATTAAAGTCACTCTAGATGCAACAAACCAAATAACAGAAGATATCAAATTAAAACTGCCACATGTATCCTATTGCATATTTGTAAGAGCATGGGGAGAGATAATTCAGTTAGGAAAACTCAATTATAATCAGAATGTGTTTAACATTTTGATTACTAAAAATAAGTTGCTGAAAGCACATTTACCTCAATTTTGGTTAGGAGGTCTTGCAGTTCTCCTGATTCATTCATTGACAAAATTTTCTCAGCACCCTATTAACAAGAGAGAGTAGGGGGAAAAATCCATTTTTGTTAGTATTTGAGAAAATAAAGTTCTAGCCAGGAAAGCTTAACCCACAAAATACTGAACACAATTCTTCCCTTTGGAGCTGAGTAAATGTACAACTAGGATACCAAAGAGGAGAAGACATTTTTCCTTACTGCCCCATACTCTTGCATCTAGTAAGTCTTACCTCAGGTAAGGGGAAGGCTGCCTACAGGAGGCAAGCTCCAGGAAACCCACAGCTGTCAGGTTTAAGTCCAAATACAGAAAGGGCCAGCATACTCTTCAGGGTTGTTTAGGGAGCCTGGAGCCAGTCTACCATCTGGGAAAGGAATCCTTGGAGCAAATTCCCACCCTCAGTTATCTCTACCCTACTCCAAGCAGTACTAGACATGGCCCTCCTTAACAGCCATGCATGTAAAGATAACAGCAGCTGACAATAACAACAACAACAATAATGATAATAACTACCAACACAACTTAAGCAGATATTTTGAGTTTGGCACAAATATCATCTCCTTTGCTGTAGCAGACTCTATTATTTGCAGAAGTTGAGCCTCAGTGAGATTAAATAACAATTCCAAGGCCACCCAGAGAAGACACAGAGAGAAAATGTAAACACAGGTAGGGCATGAACTCCAGAGCTGATGCTTTCAACTTCTAAAACATTACTATGAAAGTGAGAAAGGGGACAATGTGTGTTTCTTCAAACTACTCCATTTTTCTCTCCTGTCCAGCTGCTTCCTACATTCTACCACTCTACTTCCCAACGTAAAACCATAGAGAAGGAAGAAGGAAAAACTGGAGTAATTATTTTTAATCAAAGACGGAGACCATGTCTGCCTTGTTGACACTGCGTCCTAGGCGCTCAGCACAGTTGCTGGCTCAGAATAGGCATTGGATCAAGTTTTGTTTAATGAACAAGACAGGGAGAAATATAATCACACACTAAACATTTTTTATTCCTACTTGTGCTAAGCAGCGTGCCAAGCAGGACTCATTTAAAAAATAAAAACGTTCTAGTTCTTAGGGAGGTTACTATATACATTTATGTAAAAGTATTTTTTTTGTAAATGTACAAAAAACTAACCCACAGTGTAGAATGAAAAATCAGTGCCAAATGAATGATGAATAAAAAAGATAAGCCAGGATATCACAACAGGAGGAAAACTGTGCTTTTTGAGGGTAGAGAAGGCTTTCTGAGATTGGTGGCATTTGATCTGGACCTCAAAGACTGGATGAGGTTTCTAAAATAGGTTAAACAATCCTATAGTGATGTATAGGAGTATTTAGTTCTTGGTTTCGTTTTATTTCAGTCTATCTTGTATAATTTATGTCATCACAATCACGATAAAAAATGTCAAATTGATACATTCAAAAGCAGTATGAACGAACACACAGGACTACAGAGAATATATACTGCTCTGTGAGGCAAGTTATATCTCTTTATTTGTTGCTGGTTGGGCCACGAATACAGACGTGAAACAATCTAAAGTAAGAACAAAGGTAATGAAAGCACCATGACAACACATTAAAGTCTAAATGTAGTAATAACTGGTAATATTTTACTTTTGCTATATTCTATTTCTTTTAAGAGATAGCTAAGTTAAAATGGGAAAGAACTCTGGGGAATTTGATACATGAACTAAAGCAGTAAAGAGAATACATGCCTCATTTATCTCAAATGAAAGAAAATGCCCCACAAGGACTCCAAACAAAATGAATGGACCAGAAAAGCTGTCCACAGCTCCCACCTGGCTCTTCTCTTATGGAAACATTGTGTCTTAGTCAGTTGTTTAGAGTACAACGCATATGCCAAGAAAGGACCTGTCTCAATATTCTTAAATATATGAAATTTGCTCTGTCTCAGCCAAATAACTCTTGCAGCATTACTACCACAGGAGGAGATTCCACATTGCAGGAGAAATGCAGGCTTTGTTTATGTTAAGCCAAGTACTTAAAGGCATAATGGTCACTGATTTTCAGGACACCTGGGCGTCTAGTATAGAGGTGGTATAATGAGTGCTTAAGGTTGGAAAAAAAGCTGCTCCATAACAGAGGACAGGCAGCTGAATACCTACTTCCCTCATCCGACCACTGCTACACAACACAGCCTCCACGACCCTACCTGCCCTGCCCTCAGGTCTTTCCCTTGGAACCAGCCCTTTGGTCCCTGTGCCACAGGCTGAGCATTGACAGTAGTCAAAGCCTCCTGTTCCCTACTGGGTCCCATGTCTCTGCCCTCCACACGATCCTGTCATAACCAAGCCTAAGAGCAGGATCCTACAGGGGACAGGGAAACCAGATGATCGCCTTCTCTGATCCTAAGTGCAGCAGCAGCAATAGCAAAATAGAGATTTTAGCCTGCTTGGCACCTGTCAGGGAAACATTACAGATCACTCCCACACAGAGGTTTGGAGCATTTATCAGGGTGAATCTCAATCTGCCCTGCTTTCCCTGCATTTGCATATTCCAAAGGTCTCATTGCCACCTTTTTTCTTATCAAAGACATTCTAATTATTAATTGATCTATAAAGAAACCTCTGTGTCCACAAAAGAGAGTGCATTTCCTTGCACATTGACATTCTTAGGAAATTATCTTTTCCTGGTTGGTATTTGGCTAAGAATGTCAGACATGTTTGTTTTTATGTACACTCCACCACTCAATTCTATGATAGTGGAAATTATTTACTCTATTACTCAGCATAGTTTATCAAGACCTCCAGGACACCTATGGAAATATTTCTTCCATATTTTCAATTGGTTCAGAATCTATTTTTTCTTAAAATTAATATAATCCTGAAAATAATGATAATAGTAATGTGTTAAGTGCTTTACAAACATGAACACTTCTAAACATTGGCACAAAATAAGCATTTTTTTTAAATAAAGGAACTATCTCAATTTTTTACATAAAGAAACTAAAGTCTAAAGAGAATAAAGAGCATGCCCGGAGTCTTTCAATTAATCAGTACAAGGCTTGGGTTGATCTTGAATTCAGGTTGAGCTGACTCCAAAACTTACCCTCTTTCCGTTGCACCCTGCAAGCTGCCTGCTCACTGATAGAGCACAACTGTATTAGTGAAAAATGGTACAGCGATCTCCCAGTCTGGGGAATATGAGAGTCTGTAGTTCAAACTCACTGTTGACCAGGTACACAGAAGTGCAAGTGAATTGAAGGCTTTCACTGCAGTGACTCCACGTCCAGAATGAACATGCCAGAGAAGCTATGAAATGTCCAAGTTCTGTTTTTGTAAATCTCAGCATTGCATCTTAATCAGTTATTTAGAGTAATTGCATATGCCAGGAAAGAACCTATGTCATTACCCTTTAATACATGAAAAATCTCTACCTCACTCAAATACTTTACAACTTAAAATTCAGAGCAGTGAGCTGTAACGTGTGAACAAGACACTTTGTTTTACATTGTTGTAACAAACTTCACAGATGAAGATAAGATAATCTATTTAATTTTTCCTTATCTATGAATCACCAAGGAAGAAACACATACCTTCAAGGAATAAGAAAAAGGTAGGAAAAGAAATCAGGCCTCTGCCAACTATGATTGCCAAAAAAAAACCACTTACCATACGACCTATGAATGTGTAAAAGTGTGCTACCATACTCATTCATGCATTTATCCATTCATTCAACACTATTATGAGTCTCCATTAGGGATTAGGCACTGTGCTGCGTTAGAGCTATCCAATAAGCAAAAAAGCCACACATGTGCATGCGCACACACACACACAAACACACAACTGCTTCCCGTTACCGAGGTAATGTACTTTTAGGGGAGACAGACTTTACACAAAGATTACACAAATAAATGTAAACTTATTTATAACTGTTGAAAATAGTACAAAAGGGGCATGCTACAAGATGCTAAGAACACAAAGAGTAAGGCAAATTTAACAAAATTGAGGCTAAGGAAGGCTCTCTCCACAAAACAATCATTAAGTTTTTATCTTTAGGAAGAATAGTAGTTGACCGAGCACACAGACAGAATAAGGGAGGGTAATTAATAGGGACAGTAACGCTACCAATATTATTATATGTACGTGTCCTTTTGTAGTCACCATTTCCCTTCATTCAAGATCAGAGGAAAAGCTACATTCAATAAAACGTCCTAGCAGAGTCTCTATATAGCATTGTGGGTTGATACCCTGGAGGGAACATAGGTGAGACACCATGCCACGGCATAAGCAACCTATTTTACATAATAAGCTAAAGAAAACAACAAAGTGATATACACCAGTTTATATTTAGCATACTCTGTTAGGTCTCAGGGAAGAGTAGCTAAATCATGAGTTTCTAAACACTATTATCAAAAAAGAAAACAATAGAACATTTAAGTAATTTTTCTCAAAAGTTTTTAAAGCCACACAGATCTTAGTTATCTCTATATGGATATCCAGGCTCTGGAATTCCACATGGGACATCAACTTTTGAAACTATTAACTTAAACATTTCTGAGGAGCCCAGAAGGACTAAAAATAAAGTTCACATTAACCAAAAACAAATACAAATTTTAATGTATATATACACACATATATTTATATGTGAATGCACATATATGCATATATAATATATAGTTTTATTTTATTTTAATTTATATTTAGTCATAAACCACCTCATCTTATTAAGAAAGTAGCTTGCAACAAAAGATCTATACCATAGTATAATAAAATAGAAATTTAATGGGAATTTATAGGAAATATTCTAAATAAATCTTGAAATGGTAGCTATGGGTGAGCCTTAAATTTGACTCTGAGTTAGCTTTTTAGATGAAACAGTTTTCTAAGCACAGTAGTCTAAACAATATCTTGCATAAGACTTTGGATGGACTGGTTGATATAATAAATAGTATTCTTGCTTTTTTGATAACCGTAAAAATATTGTTTTCAAATAAATGCTATTACAGAAATGGCTCCTACATCCAACCAGTACCAGTTTTTATTCCTTCTTCTAACTTAAATCAGGCTCCTTT